CCAACAGAGAGACCTGCTCCACTCCTGGATGCAGTGGAAAGAAGAACTTTGCCGCCTTCCTAGTGTTTCTCTTCCTCGTCCTTATGTCCCTCCTGCAGTCGGGATTGGAGGAGTTACTCACAAGGTCCATATCTTCTCAGACGCCTCTGAACAAGCTTACGGAGCTGCAACTTACCAACGTGCCATTGACCCAGCCGGTCAGACATACCTGTAAAACACCTGTACCCCTGCGGCTTATCCTTTATCAATTCATCATCTAAACCTGCATACCTGTCTCCTCATCCTTATATTAAACTGTGCTCTGACAGGCATCCAGAGGGGTTCACTCATCTAATTACAAATCAGATCCAGACAGTCAAAGTCTCCCAAACAGCATCCTCTGTGGATCTATTTTTCCTATATGCAAACTGTTGTGGGTACAGGTTTGCTAGCATGATGCTCAGAATGTGTTTTTTGACGAGACTCTCAAAACAATGCCCCCTTGCGTGTGTTTCGCTCTACTCAGTGACTTGTAAACCTGAGTAGGGTTTAGCGTTATTACCTGTTCCACCTCATCAGGAGTTACTTCCAGCATTGTACAGGGCTCTGTGTTCAGGGCTTCAAATCATGCATAGAAGAGGTTGAGCTCATCAGGCAGAGATGAAGAGCTGTTTGCAAATGTCTGGCCTTTATAGTCTGTGATGCGTGTTAGATCTTGCCACATTTTCCTGGAGTCATGTGCAATATAGTAATTTTTCAGTTTCTGTATTTTTAAAAACATTATCAAATCCATTATCGTTAATGTTTTCATTATAAAATGTCCTTAAAAGGTGTTCTGTGTGAGACAATCAATGTGAAGGCTCAAAATCCGGAATCCTCCAGTGGGATTCATCAACTGTAATATATTTTAATTTTTGTCTTATTTAAGATATTTGCTTTAAAATATAGTACATAATATTAATAATATTCAATTAAAATAAATAAAACAAAAAATAATCCAATGAATGTTTCTCATAAATTGATTGGTGTGTAGTTATCATTTAAAAAAGAAGAAATAGTGTGCACATCCAAAAAACTTTTGGCAGGTGCTCAATCAAATGAAGCATCAAATTAAAAAATAAACAAGAATCGGCACATTGCCACTTCTGCTCCCAAGGATTTATTAAAATTAACAACTTTTCAACCCAAAGGGTCTTCGTCAGGCGTTATCAGTGCTTTAAGTGGGCCGGTACGCACCGGTACTCAGTACCGCCACTTCCAAATATAGCTCTTGAGCGTACCGCCACCTCTCCGTGCGCCCAGAACGTGCTTTTAGCGTACCGGTACGCTCATTTGCACATCTGTTTTAATCCTTTGGCTGCGCTGCCGTTTTTCAGAGCTGCCTTCACAATGCACGCCTCCTAATTCGTCCCACCGAGAGCAGAGACTACATTACCCATACACCCTTGAGTTTTACAAGTGAAAAGCGCATGCGTCGCTTTTGCCGCTGTCAGTGTTAGCCATAGCTGTCAACCCTCCCGTTTTTTCCGGGTTTCTCACGTATTTTAGCTCTTTTCCCGCTGTCTTCCCGTTTTAGTATTTTCCCGTAAAATATCCCGTAAAATATTACGCTCTGATTGTGTGAGACGTAGCCTACAAGCTCGGGCAGATTCGGCTTGAAGTCGTTCATCCTCGGATGCGGTGTCGCGCGCGCTGTTACAAAAACGGTGTGCACACAGCCAAGCGAAATGGGGTCTTGCCGGTGTTGTGCCGAATTTCGACCCCCGCCAAATTATTACCCCCCTAGCATTGGTAGGTTTAGGATTAGTTGTGGGGGAGGGGTTAGGATTAGGGGCGGTGTTGGGATTAGGCAATCAGGTACTGACTTCAACGAGGGGGGTAATAATTTGGCAGGGGGTCGAAATTCGGCACAACACCGGTCTTGCGCACCCAACGCGTCATTTTTGCCGCGCTCGTGCGGACGCGTCGAGTATAAACAAGGCTTTACTCCGTGTCAGCGCGCGCTTTGATCGGTAAAGGGGCACAGACCTCTCCCTAATCATCTCCAGCAGTCCCCGAAGCACCACCGTTTCCCTCGTAAGCTGATATTAGTATTTAAACATTCTCTGATAAAAAATGTTTAAAAAATGACACACTGTTTCTTTCTCTCATACACACACACACACACACACACTGTCTCTTTCTCTCTCACTCATATGTAGTTATAAACTCTTTAGACTTTTAATGATTAGTGCTTTATTTTTAAAGTTTGTGGGTAAGAATCGTGTAAAAAAAATTCCCTTATTTTGGGGATGGATTCTGGGAAATCTCCCTTATATTCAATGTTCAATGTTGACAGCTAATGGTGTTAGCTGCTCTGTTAAAATACAAATAGAGCATCACAGTGCGTGCCGTGTAACTGTCTGGTCAGACTGATCTCATGAAATGGCGTATGTATGACACGCCAATTCGTATTTCCATTTTTGGCGTGCTATCAACACGCATAATCGCTTTTCAGCGTGTTTATCAACGCCTTTGACTTAACGTTATATTACTGTATTATGTATATATAAATATGTGACCTACCCCAACCCCGTCCCTAAACCTACCCGTCACTGGGGTTAATACCATTTATGAGTCTTCTCCTACCATCCTAGGAAAAGAAATATCGCTCCACAGATGTAGATATAGATTTTGCTTCGTTTCGCTCGGACATTTAACGGCGTACACATACACGCGGAATCACTCGGACGTTTAATGGCGTAGACATACACGCAAAAGATTTCGGCGTGGACATACACGCGGATAGCTCAAAATGCGTATAGATAACACGCCACTTGAATTGAAAGTGGCGTGTATGTTTACGCAAAGTCATGATGTCATGTTGGTCTGGTTAAACCCTATTTTTTTACAGTCTATGGTTAAACCCCGCGAAGGTCCGTGAAGACTGAAGATCGTGTAATGACGTAGGGCTAGCTCATTGGTCGCACGTCAGAGGCGCCCGCGCCATTGGATGTGCAGTTGCCACAGTACAGCCTATGAGCGAGCCAGATGCTCAATGTGTTTTACATATAAGCTTCATTAAATCAGAAAAGGAGTTTCCCTGCACATTCCACTATATAAAATTCACTGGAGGAAAAAGTTTGCGTGGCCGTCGTCAGATTTGGAAGTCGCTCAAAAGGCTCTTTCGCGGTTGTGGCTTCAGTCGACTTCAGTGAGGCGCGGTGGTTTATGGGATGAGTAGTTCCTTCGCTTGGAAATGAAAATATGTACACAGTCGTACCTTTGATTTTACTTGGATTTTCTCTTCGTTTTTTCACTCGAAATGATATGTTGTATGCTTATGAGTTCAGCCATAGCTGGTTATCCTCAGACATGCTCTAAAACTCTTTAGATACGGTTTTTCCAAAATGTCAATGGGAGAAATGAATGGGAAATTTACTTTCGGCACCGAAGCGCTCTCGGGCTGTGGGCGGGACTGTGATGCTCTATACCCCAGACAATAACATTTAATTTTGTAACAGAATAAAAGTTTTTTTTGTTTTTTTACAAACGTAATTTTACTCTGTTTATTAATGTTTTTACCCAACATTTGTGCAGTTTTTGGAGGATTTATGATACATTTTAAATTTCTATAAATAAATAAATATTTATTTAAATAGGCTTTTTACAACAAAAAAACAGCCTTTTATGTCAAATTCACTTTATAAAAGACCCAGATTTCTAACTTTCATTCATGGAGATAACATGGATAATTTTACATGGTTTAATGTAAGATTTTGGGCCATTTTTTGGAAAATGCAGTTTTAAAATAAAATAAACATCACTTTAACCACTAGATGGCTATAGAGCTTCACTATATGCTATTTGACTAATCAAAATATATCTTTTCACAAGTTTTTCCAGTTGGATTCATATCCACATTTTGTACATTTTATTTATGTTCAGTAGCTCTTTCTACTGTAGCTCTTTCTAAGGGTATTTTTTCAATACCATTTTGCACATTTTATTTATGTTCAATAGCTCTTTCTAGCTAAAGCAAATCCACAAACTATTAAAAGGATTTGTTATTTTTTATAAGGTCGTCTGTTGACTGCTGTTTATATCAAACCCCTTCAATATAGTTGTTGTTACCTCAGGGGAGGAGGGGAGTCAGCAAATAAATAAATAATAATAGAGTACCGCCACGGCGCCACCTCTTTTGGGCCACTTAAAGCACTGGGCGTTATCATTTACCCACAAGGTGGCACAAAAAGCTCACATCCATGACGTAAAGGAGCTGTTTTGCTCCTTCATAAGTCATAAAAGAGACTTTTAATAATAGGCCTAAGATACTTTGGGCTGGCGAAAAAAAAATGTATGTCGCACCCAATTTGAAATGAAACTGCTGATGTTTCTGTGTTGTGCAAATAAATGTTTTATCTATCAGGGAAGAGGAACCAAGCCAAACTTCATTCCATAGTTATCTTCTAGCAAAACACATTCCCCACTCCCTAAACCCCAAAGGTCAGCCCACTTTCACAACATCAAATGATTCAAAACATGATCCTTTATGACATGTTGGACCCTACAGGCTTTAACACTGATTCTACGCCTATAAAACAATGACACTACAAACATCTGCACTGAGAAACGTGAAACACTGAGCCAGGAATATTCTAAGCAGATGTCACATAACTTAACAGAGGAATAATCAAGGTAATCATGTGATCAGCTGAAATACAAACCAAAATTACATTTAGATTTTTGCAAATATTTGAAATCACAGAATGTGTAAATAATTTAAGGAAAATTCTTTCATCTTAATTAATAACTAAATAATGTTTTATAATTAATGTATATTTCTAAAAAATATATTTAAAAATTATTTATTTGATCATTTACAATCATTTATAATTTCATAGGTGAACTTTATTTAAATAATTTTATATTATCATTATTATATTGTATTTTTAAGTGTTGCCAAGAATAATTTTAACTTCAAGAAAATATATTTTTTTTAAATTAGCAAATCAAAGCCATTTTTACAAGGTATGTCATGTGTAAAAGGCAGATACATTTGGTTATTTTGTAAACAGATGTTAAATGTATGTTTTAGTATGTCACAGGCAAACGAAACCGCAGCTTCTGTTGTAACCGAGTTTTTCATCGTGGGCTTCCCTGGACTTCTGCCCAAATACTACAGCCTGATGGCAGCATTTTTGTTCTGCATCTACATCGCTGTAATCACTGGAAACTCTCTCATTGTGGTCCTGTTTGTGACTGAACGCAGCCTCTTTAAGCCTATGTATATTATCATGCTGAGTTTGTCCTTGTCTGATATTGGTTTTTGCACAGTTGCTCTGCCAAAAGTCATTTCTCGCTACTGGTTTAATGACGGTTATATTACCTTATATGTTTGTCTGTTTCAAAGGCAGCTGATTCACTATTTTGGGACCCTAAACTCTCTTATTATGATGATCATGGCTCTAGATCGGTACTTGGCGATCTGTTACCCACTAAGATACCCTGTTTTAATGACTAACCGTACTATGAGACTTTTAATAGGGCTTTCCTGGGTTACTGCAATGATTGCCCCAACCATCAGCTTAATGCAAACAATAAAACTGCCATTCTGTGGGCCAAATATGATCGCTCATTGCTTCTGTGACTCTGGGGCTATAAACCAGCTCGCCTGTGCAGATATCAGCCAACTGACCCTCATTGCCTATGGTGTAGCAATGTTTGTGCTTCTCGTGCCATTCTCTTTCATCATCTTTTCATATGTATGTATCCTGGTGTCTGTGCTTCGAATAGCAAATGCACAGGGTCGTATGAAAGCCTTTTCTACCTGTACCACACAGCTGACTATCATTATTATCTATTATGTGCCACGTTTCATTGTTTACACCAGTTCTACCATCCCTAACATTCAGATAAACAGCAGTGAGAGGATCGCCCTGGTCATGTTCTACAGTCTGCTTCCACCACTTGTGAACCCCTTCATCTACTGCATCAGGATCAAAGAAGTCAGACAGTTCTTTCTCAAATGGTGTGTTCAGAGAAACAGGATGATTCTAAAAGTCCATAGGTTCACCATTTCTAAATGAGATCATCTGCCTATTATATGTTTTGATGCATGCATACGCATACATGTTATTTTTATATTGTTATGTATTTACAATATTTGTTAATATTATAGTCATTTTCTATTGCATACCAATAATAAATTGTATTATAATAAATGTGGAAGGCCATTTATCTCTCACAACTCAATAGACAAGTTCTTCTCTCTTTAACACAGTAGCCCTCAATGATGATTTAACAAAAAAAAAAAAAATGCTCAGAAGATTCAAGATTGAATAAAGAGACATAATGGAAAGTTGCATGTCCTGCTGCCCTTATAAAACATTTTTTTATAATTACATGTGTTCAGGTTTTTTGGCTTCTTTAATTAAAATACTAAATGTAATATTTGTGCTTTAAAAAATCATGGAAAGTAGCCTATATCATATATTTTAATAAATAAATAAGTGACGATAATCGATTCATTTTCAGGAAAGCTTTCAAAGTGACAGCTCTTCCGTAGGCTACTTGTTATTGTTTTGGTAACATTTATATTAATAATCGATTCTTTAGATTATCTGTAAAGTCTTCCTGTAAGACGGAGTGGAGGTTAACGGTTTTCATTAGTGTTTCAAACTTATTAAAATTAGGTAGCTTGCATGCTGTGTTATGCTCAAATAAATTAAAATAATTCAAATCTGAACAAACTGTCAAATTACAAAGAACGGCGCCAATCTCATTTGAATAAAGTAGGCTAACATTAATTGATGCACATGACAGTGCCTGCTGAACAGAGAAAAAAAAATATTCTTACCGTGTGCAGTTTATTTCTGTGGAAGGCCGTGGATTGTGTACTCTTTAGATTCCCATGTGGTTTGGTTTAAACTTGATAGGCCTACTTGCCAAAAAAAAACTATCGTTGTAATTTAAGGGACCGTTAAACAATGTTGCTAGCTTCTCGTGATTAAATCCATGTTTTGCATTACAATAAATCGCGTGTCTTGGTGTATATTTGCACTACATTAAAATATAGTTCTTAAAAAATATTTTGTATTAGATCAAAAATATGTTTCCACTAGGGGGCGCATGGCGGCTGAATTAATAGAATCCTTTATTTAGTCGCATTAATTCATGTATTTTTTTTTATCTAATTTGGGATATTTCTGCACAAAAACAAAATTGCAATGAGGAATATAAACATTAATAAATACTTATAAATAGATATAGATTAAAAGTATAATACATTTTTTATGTGATTTTAATGGGAGGTGTAAGAGTAATTACCATTTTACCCGCAAGGTGGCGCAAAAAGTTCACAGTAAGAACGATATTTGACATTCGTGGCCTAAGGGAGAGATTTTGCTGTTTGCTGTGTGCTATCTGATGTTTTTATTAATAAAATATAAAAGAGAAGCTAACATTCAGGACTATTTTTTATATAGTCCCTTTTAGAGTACACTATTTTTATATGTTTTTGAAATAAATATCTTATGGTCGCCGATGCATTTGTTTGATCAAAAACATTAATAGTGAAATAACGCCATGAATTTAGGGATAAGGTTAGGTTAAGGGCAAGGGTTCGGGTTAGGCACTTAGTTGTGATGACTTGGGTTAGGGTAAGGAACTAGAGATTGCATTGTCAATGAATGTCCTCCTCACACATATTGTGTGTGTGTGTGTGTGTGTGTGTGTGTGTGTGTGTGTGTGTGTGTGTGTGTGTGTGTGTGTGTGTGTGTGTGTGTGTGTGTGTGTTCACTACTCCTAATGTGTTTGCACTAACTTGGATGGGTTAAATGCAGAGGACAAATTCCAAATATGGGTTACCTTACTTGGTCTCCACGTCTATTCACTATTGTGTACCTACTATTCACTACTTGTGTACCTACTTAACTATATTTTGGGGACCAATTTGTACCCAGAAGTGACCAAATACCTCCCTTTAGGGACATCCTCATTTGTAAATCTGGTATAAAAAATCAATTAAAGGTTTTTGAAAATGTACAAATGGAGAAAGTTTTGTGTGATGGGTAGGGTTAGTGTAAGGGGATATAATATACCGTTTGTACAGTATAAAAACCATTAGGTCTATGGAATGTCCGATTTAGATAGCTAAGTAAACGTGTGTGTGGTCCAGGTAAACCCAACATTTTGAGGACAAAATATCCACATAAAGATGGCAATATCTGAAATCTTTGTCCGTGTGGGTAAAATTTGTTGGCCCCATTAGGGAAATCAGCTGTCTGTCTGTGTGTGTGAATAATTTAATTAGTTAAAATGCTTTCTGAAACACAATATAGTATTGCATAGAGCAAGAAAGACAGTGTTTTTATTTATAAATATAGTGCTAAAATCCAAACAGTTAGGATTTCAGCTCTTTGTATGAATTTATAGCCCTTCATTCATTATAAGCAATCTGAAGGTGAACACATCAAGCAATAAGCAATTCACTTCAATATTCTGGATTCTTTATTCAGTTTATAGATGTATTTCCATTTGTAGTTTAGAGAATGAAAGCATTAGTTTTATTTACAATTATATTTTTTAAAAACTTCAGCTCTGTACAGATTTGAACCCTGATAAGGACCAATATTTTTCAGACCTAGTGCGGTGTTAAAACACAAAAAGCAAAGACCACATAAACAGAAAAAGACAAAGGAAGAAAAGAGATATCAAATTATGAACATTTGAAGAAAAAAAAGAAAACAGTACAGTAAATTCTTCAGCCATTAGAGAGGGGTTTGCTGCTGTTAAAGTACATGACATTGTCAGCATCTCACTGCTCCAAATGCTAATGTGCTAACTGTTTTTAGACTATCATACACTAAACACCAATATATATCAACAATCTATAGTTATGTTCTCTATAAGATTCATATTAAATATACTCTACACATATGTAACCTTCGAATACAATTCCCATTTGGAAAAAATATTAAAAAGGGAGGAGAAAGAAAAATTACACAGATTTAGAAATGAAACAGCTCTTGTTTCTGTATTGTGCAAACAAATTTTATATCTAACAGGGATGGTGGAATAGAAACCAAGCCAAACTTCATTCCATAGTTATCTTCTGGCTCCAAACGCAAGCATTAATTTACACCACCACACTTAGAAAATAAAGGGATAAATCTTACCCTTCCTGAAAGAGAGCAGCTCAGATGTATCTAAAGAGGGCAGACGCAACACTGTTTGACTGTCAAAACACAGCCGCAAATGTCACTGTTACTCACTGTGGATTATTTAGACTTTCCATGAATGAATCAAACCAACATCTGGAGATCTACCTTCCTGCAAATTCCTGACTCCTGCGCTCAAAACACACCTGGACAGGCTAATCGAGCACCGGAACTTGTTAAAGCAGGACGCTGGATCTCCATGACCAGAATGGGTCATTTAAAACACATGGAAACATATAATAAACATTTCTAAAACGTTCATCAGGCACATCAATACTTGTTCTCCTGCGCTGGAATCAATAGACTACATGTGACGATTAGTATTTTATAGGGAGGGCGTGTGTAGTGGAGGTTAAACCGCCAGTGAAGCGTGTGCTATTATTTCAGATGTAGATGACGACATGCCTTTCAGCCTCCGCACCGGATCCGAGCCAAGCTTGGTGAGCGTTTAACGTGAAAAGTTCATCAGACCCTGTGTAAATTAATTTCCCCCTCACACGTCTCCCTCCTGAGAGGAAGAATCAAGGTCTCTTCTTCCTCACTGAATCATTCATGTTTACCATGTGCAATAAAAAACAGAGAAACAAGGGCCTCTTCCGTGTGCAAACCGGTAGAAAGGGAAGGAGTGAGCGTCTGTGTGTGAAAGTGAGCATGATGAAACGAGTTACAGGTCTGCTGGGTGTACATGAACGTAGAAAGACCAGAAATGTGTGTGTGAGGGTGTTTGGCGGGATGCGTCTTATCATCTGCTGCTCTCAATGTTGATTTTCTTGACATCTTTTGGCTTCAATAAGGACTATGCATTCCCCGAGCCTGGTCTCGTCCTCTCTCGGGTGTGATGTTTTTTTTTTTCCTTTCCAGGTGAAGTGAAGCTCTCGTTCTGGTCAGGTGTGGGTAGTTGTGTTTAAGCAGCATGGACGAAGGGTGACAGGACACACTCATTCTGAGGGATGAAGGGATGTATTTACAGGATCACACAACAGTTGCTCTCTCCAGTCTTCTCCCGGTTCCTTTGACCTGAAATGAAAACACATGCAGTTAATACTACTGCTCAAAAACAAAACAATAGTTCTGTTCCAAAACCATAGCTGCCTACCTAAACAGAATTTTAAGGCATCATAGGCATTCTGTTTTGTTCTTAGAGAGGCAGGCAACATAGTTATGTTTCCTTCTAAGATTCATATTTTATTCTGCATATATTCTTTACACAGAACACAATCCCAGAATGCATCCTTGAAAAGCTTGGTGAAGGATGATGGGCAAAGTGAGAGAAATGTAAGTAGATATCATTCAATATAAAAAGGTATTGTTAAAAACTGTTTAAAAAGACTATTTTAATTGTTTACGGGTGTGAGTTTGGTTATAGAATACGGTTGTCACTCTCGTAAATAACTGAATTGTGTGTGAACGTAACCGTATTAAGGACTCAAATACAGGACTGACATCCGTATTCTGCTGCTGTGTGAATGTGGCCTATTTAAAAGGTTCCAAATCAAACATTTATGAGGTTCTTTTTCAGTGACTTAAAAGGCAGCTACCCATGTAGGCAGCATGGAAGCTCACTAGGGTTTGGAACACAGCCGTTATCTTCAGTACTGATAAATAAGACAGCAGGACCCAGCAAAAGATCCGTCAATACACAAAGTGCTTCAGCATACATAAATAATGATATTTTTATTACTAAAGTAGCAATTGAAGACTTTTATAAAATTGTATTTTATTTTATTTTATGTGGGATTTACTTCATTTTATTTCTGTATATTTAGTTTTATTTCACATTGTAATATTAATAGTTTAACAAGGTACTATGTAATTGTAAGTGGTTTAAACATTATTTGTATTTATTTAAGGTTTAACTCTTAAAAAAATAAAAAAAAATATTTAAAAAAAACCTTCTATATTTAATTAATGTTTGTCATTATCAATGAATTCACCTGAAAATTATTATAACCACTTTACAATAAGGTCTAATTTGTTAACATTAATTAATGCATTAAATAACATTAACTAACAATGAACAATATATTTTTACAGCGTTTATTAAACGTCGTTAATGTTACTTAATAAAAATGTTCTTGTTCATGTTAGTTCACAGTGCATTAACTAATGTTAACAGATGCAACATTTGATCGTAATAATGTATTAGTAAATGTTGAGACTAACATTAACTAAGATTAATAAATGCTGTAGAAGTATTGTTCATTGTTAGTTCATGTGTTAACTAATGTTTTTAACTAATGTTAACAAATGAAACCTTATTGTAAAGTGTTAACAATCTTTCATTTAAAGTGTCCCCTCAAACTTAAATTAATAACCACAAATATATAATACACATACATTCTCATATTTATTTCTATGTTGAAACCATACTTCAATAAATAGTGCATCACTTTTTTCATGAAAATGGGCCTTCAATTCAGCATTTCAATAAAAATTGTTAAAAGGCTTAAAACTCTAATATGTCAGAATACGCTCAGCAAACATTAAATTCAGTTATTTTTCTTCCTATTTTATCACCAACACTGTCATGTGACGGTCTTTTATATTTTGGTGATACAATACTTTAAAACCTCTGAAAGACATTGCCAGAGGTTGAGAATGATCCACATATAAACTGGTGATTTTTGAAGAAAGTGAAGGCTGCAGTTAGGCAGGGAGCGTGTGAAAAAGTGAAGGAGGACTGGACAGAAAAGAGAAAGGGCAGAATGGTTACCTTGGGAATTTGGCTCGGGCAGCGTCTCTCTGGCAACTAAATGCATCACTGTGGTTTTTCCGAGAGGCAGTTTTAAAGCTGCAAGACACAAGAAAAAAAAAGCGTTAGACTGAATGGACAAACAAGAGACTAATGCAGCATTAGTGATACCATGGATAGATAGATGGCATAGATAGATGGCATCTATGATACCAAAGTAACTTTTCAAGGGGATAAAGTCATAGGACAGAGGAACAAGTTGACAAGTAAACCCCTGGATGAGAGAGCAGCATTTTAGCCTGTGCCTTATTGCGAGCCGTCACTGAGGTTGAGACCACTGCTGCTGCCTTCTGCCCCACAAAGTCTCTGTCTTCATGCCTTGGTTCTCTTTAATCAAGAAGGTGTCAGCATGTATTATCAAAGTGACACTTCTTTGGCAAACGTCAATCATACAGTAGTTACTCAACTATGGGAAAAGTTTGCCCAGGCAAAACATCGCAAAACCCATTATATATGAGTAAATAGTAAAGTTAAACTATTCACATGTCACAAATATTTATAAAAGACAAAAGAGACCGAATTTTAAGTCCCCATGAATTCAGAATTGACCATACTTACTTTGTTTGCCTAAATTGATTGTTTTGTGGTGAACAATTCATCCATGCAAGTCAATCCACACAAAAAAATTTTTTGACTTCGTAATCTTTAATCAAAATCTGAAATTTCCCCCTCCCCTCTGCATTGGAGGACCTTTCCTGATGATGTAGGTTTGACGGTTTGGGTGTCTGCTTAACATCCGTAACCACGCCCCTCCAACTGACAGTAGACAGGCGGAATGAAAACACCTACTTTTCTACATCCAATCAGGTGCTAGTTGGAAAAAAGCCACGCCCACTATTTTGCCTCATTTAGTATTCTGTTTCTCTCGGAAATACGTCACAACACTGGAGAAAAGTCGTTTGCAACTTCCGGTTCACGGGGACTTTAATAGTGTATTGAGAGGAAAACATGCTTCCATAGTTGTAAGTACTAATCACAATTTAGCCAAGATTGCCTGACAGACAGACATAGAGATGACAGACAGATGTACGAGCAACACAAAAAGACCCTGGATGTTCCCTGCATGAGTTGATGTGCGGTAGGTTGAATATAAAGTGATTGATTTTGCTCTCAGCGCGTTTGCCGCATCATGCATATTATTACAAAGCAAGAAATGGAGGGAAAGAACATGAAGTATTTCCCAGAAAATGTAAGACATATATATATAAATATATATACACACGCATGCATTTTCTTACACACATTCACAAACCCACTCAATCTTTTATTGTTGCTCGAGGGATGGGCAAACAAATAAAAAAAAAGATTCCTGTTCACGCCCAAAGAATTTCCTCTCCTCCCTGTTTTCTTTCCCTGATGACAGGTCTGTCGGACAGTGCTTTCCTGCTTTCATAGACTGCTCTTTTCCCTCAAAGCTAAATGAAAAACTTTATTCTGCTGAATTGTAAGAATATTTCTAAGTTAATTTCATGAAGTGAGATTTTTCATGACTTGAGAATAGTTACTTTTATGTGTATTGGGACAGGGATTTTGGGGTACATCCTTACAATCAGCTGAACTGTGATGGAATCAAACTGCACCCTGGCCCGAAATAGACCAAGACACAGCCAAAATAAATATCTGCGCAGTCATAAAAGTCCAATGGGACACAGCGGCCAGGCAACTTCTTATCGGTCAGACTCATGATTCGGGACTGATGAGAATGATTTAATGAATAATCAACAGTAACAGAGCATGTGTGATGTGATATAAATAATGGTAATGAGGAGTGTGGGAGGGCAAGCTCACCTCCTAGCGTCACATTGCCGTGTAGGAATCGGCCCTGGTAGATGAGGCGCAGGATGTTCGGACTGCTCACTTGTTCCTCTTCCCAGTCTGTTAAAGACAGAACGAATGAGAGGCATTCATTTGTGTTGTACACAAAATATACAAATCTGAAGCCAACAAGAGACAGACCAAAATGTAAGTTATTATGCACAGAAGAAAGAAAGTCAAAGGTTTGGAACAACATGAGGGTGAGTATATGAAGAGTAAATTAAGAAAAACTATTTTTCTTTTTGGAGGCACTTTTCTACCCGTCTCTCCACATTACTCATTCCTTCGTTTTTCACATCATTCATTTACCCATTCATATGACCCACCGATCTCTATCATTCTTGACTCATTCTTGAATCCAAATGGTGGCTCAATCACAAGACTCAAGTGATGGTCATTCTGTGTCCTCGTGAGGTCGAGCTCTGCTGTGCTCGTCTGCTATGAATAAAACTCTGATTCAATCCCAGACCACCCCGATGGAGTTTACGAACTGTACAACAAAGAAAGCCTTTCTTTTCACAGTATTCCTTTTCTTTTTTTTCATCAGTATTCTTTAAAATTAAGGGCTGATGACTTTCATAAGAGCTATTCAAAGCAAGAATTAAGTTAAAATTACATAAACTTGATTGGAGCAAGAAATTGTGTATCATTCCTGCTAAAAATGCAGCCTAAGTTGGCTTGCTGGTCTCAGACTGGCTTAACCCTCTGGGGTCCAAGGTGTTTTTGGGGTCCTTGAGATGTTTTGACATACTCTGACATTTGTGCTTTTTTCAGTTGCTTATAAACATATTACTGGCAAATGTGTAATTACACTCTATTTAGCACACACAGGGCTACCATAATGTGTTATCAACATGTATGTACATTTTTTTATTTTTGAGAGAATATTGTTTATGCGTGGTTATTGAAAAAACTAAAACTTAAAGTTTCTGAAATAAGGCCACAAAACACATACTAAATATCTGTCCACAAGACTTTTGACTAATGGATGTTGTCGCCTAGAGTTTTTTCTTCAAAATGATCTGAAAATCATCCTGCCTTATCATTCACATAAAACAATAGATTGGTTTAAATTTAAAAATGACACTTTTTGTTTGGAAAGGCAATATGCGCAGGGGTGTGACCTGCTGTGATTCACACCTGAGAAGACAATGGGCCCGCATAATGAGCGCATAATGGGGCTGCATACTAATGACCCTTTCATTCAGGTGTGTCACTGAGCCACAAGAATGCAATGACAATATATATATATATATATATATATATATATATGCCTATATAATACAAAATTGGTTCACAGTTCCAATTATTTATTTATTTTTCAAATTGTGCTTGCAAATTGTATAATATCAAATGTAAAAAATTCTAGTAATTGTGCAGTTAATTATCATACTGTTTTTACAGAAAGTTTGGGAATGTATCCCAAATGTGTCACTAATAAAACACAATACAAATAATTTAAAGAGGAGGCTTATATTGAGCTTTTAAGATTTACCTAAGATTTATTTATATGTAGCCTACATATATTTTTGCTATTTTAATAAAAAGGTTACAATTACAACAACAATTAAAATTTTAACTATATTTCAAATTTAATATTTCTTTGTATTATATACTAAAGTATACATTTTATCATACATATTTCACAGTTGCGGATTAATTAGTTTGAATATAGCTTACAATCGAACAAACAATAACAATAACATCTTAGCAAACAAGCTTTGATGTGGCAGTATTTTACAGTAAAAACGACATCTTGTCTTTCATATGTAACATATCGTTTTTATGATTAGGACATATAAATGTTAATTTGCAGTTTAATACGTTGCTTATACAAAAATATTTTATTTCAACATATTTCAGTCGATTTTTACTCATCTCAGTATTGGAATATAATTAGGTAAAAGCTGTTCATTCATTCACACACAAAAACGCGATTCAAACAGTCTTTTTGTTTACAGACACTATTCCATATCGCGATTAGCACAAAGCACTTGAAAATAAAGAATGTACCTATTCCTCGGCTGGATCCGTTGCTCCTCCAAATGAAACTACCTGTAGCCTACTTCTGAGGTAAGTTTTTCCAGGATTATTATTAAGATAGTACTATTATTCCTCACAGCATCGTAATATGAGTCTCTTTCGGTGGTTATCCAGCTGATGTGGGCGTGGATCGCCTCAGAGCATTTGTGTTTGAATAGAGCGCGCGCTCCGTGGGCGTGGTCAAATTAACTTTAATTAGCTGAGACGAGAACGACTATCATCTCTCTCTTTTCGTACAGATTACATAAAATGAGAAAAAAAATTGTATATATAAATTACTTCATTTAAAAGAAGATAATTCAGGCTTCATGCCTGTGTGCCTGTATACCTGTTTGACTGAGTATTTGCAGAGTTACAGATGATTTTTCGGACGCGTTTCAGAATGGACTTCACTGACAGAGAGAACGCAGAACGCGCATCATGTTTATTTTTCTTTATTAGGCGAAAAGCACAACACTTTGTTTTTATTATGAGGTTCCACAAAAAAAATACAAACTTAACAGGATCGAATGATGTACAACACTTATATGTAAGATCAAAATTAACAGAGTAATTTGAGTCTCTTTTGCACTGATAAGGAAAAAAGTGAGCTGGTATCGCCGGCGAGACCGCCGACCCCAGAGAGTTAAGATGGTTTAGCTGGTCAGTTAGCTCCGAAAACGACAAAACAAGCACGTTAGCTAGCTTGACCAGACTTAGAGAGCAGATATCCACATATTGGTATTTATTGGTAAAAATGATGGTAAAATCATGTTTGTTTGTTTTCTGGACATTTACCAAAGTAATGGCCCTTTATTTTTGAGGCTCTCTGGAGTACCATATAACTACATACAATAAGAATATGGATATGAATATGCTAACCATTCAGGTAGCATACACTACAGTTAAAAAATGTGGGGTCAGTAAGATTTTTGTAATGAAAAAGAATTGGATACTTTTTTATTCAGCAAGAATGCCTTAAAACTGATGAGTGACAGTGAAGACATTTATAATGTTTTAGAAGATTTCTATTTCAAATAACGCTGTTCTTTTGAACGTTCTATTCATCAAGGCATCATGGAAAAGAAATTGTGGTTTCCACAAAAATATTAAGTTGCTAATAAACAGTTAATAATAATCAAAATAAGAGTAAATAAATATTAACTGTTTCCAACATTGATAATAATAAAAAATGTGTTTGAGCACCAAATCAGCATATTAGAATGATTTCTGAAGGATCATGTCATGTGACACTGAAGACTGGAGTAATGGCTAAACAACATTACTGGGGGTTTTTTTATCAAATAAATGCAGAGACTTCTTTAAAAAACATTAAAGTCCCCCTGTGGTGAAAATCAAGTTCAATGTTGTTTATATGTCTATATGGTGTTTTTAATATGGTTTAAGACAAACCATATGCAAATTCATAAGTCACCACCATTGCCGAGTCTTTTCTCCTTAAAACTGCAGTAAACCAAAGACAGTCTCAAAACCGCGGTTTGAAATCGCTGGTGTTTCTGACATCACAAACTACCTTGTAACCAATCAGGTCAACATGTGATCATCAACGTGTGGATCTCTGAGCTGGTGTGAGTGAGTGGAGGCTCATTTGCTTATTCATAGAACCGCGTATACTAAATGAGGCAAAGGTGTAGAGTTACATTCAAGCTATTTTACGGCATGAAGAATTTTTTTCAAGGAAAAAAAACGCTTAAATGTCATTTTGGTGATCAAAGATTAGTTTTAAGGGATAAAATGATTGACTACAGGGGGACTTTAAACATCTTACCAAACCCAAACTTTTGAACTGTAGTGTATATATCAAAATACCATGGTATTTTACCATCACTGCACCATGGTACTGCAACAGTATGTTTTTAACAGGTTAGTCAGGTGGAAAAAGCTAAACTTGAGCTTGTGGCCAGATCCCTGAAAGCACTTGCAGTTTCAGATGGGTTGCCAAGACAGTGTAGAAACAGATGAAAGAGTCTGTATGCCATCTGCTCTACTCTACAATTCAGAGGTAGTACTAGAACAGTATCTGTGGAATATTTGAATGCAAACCACATAGTCCTCAGGCACAGGCGGAGAGACGGCCAGACAGATGTATAAACGCACAAACTCAGATGCTCTGTTTTTTCCCCTGAATAATGTCATTGACTTTAGGTCAGTGTACAGTGAGTGGAATCTAGCTCTGCATGGGATTACCACTCGGTCAGACTCAGATTTGTCTGCGGCACAGATTATCTGAAAACAGAAAAAGGTTGTAAAGAGGAATCTACTCAACGGCAGGAAACAAAAGCCTGAAAATCCTTCACAAGAGCCAACAGTTTCTACTGGGGGATGCATTCAAAACAATATGTGAGTGTTTTAAGATGTGATCATCACACACCCATTGGCCAGTTGTCGTACACGTGCTTGGCGATGTCGGCCGCGGAGTCGTTTGGCGAGAACAGGAACTCTTTTGTTTTTCCACTCACCAAGATGAGCCTCAAGTTGATCTGAAAAACAAACACAAACACAATAGAGCCGTTAGAAGCTCGGTCAGAATCCACACCACACTTCCTCATCATCAACACGAAATGGCATTTGCAACCCATTTTAACTTGTAGTGTGATGTGAGTTTCATACCAGAATGGAGCCAGAACTGAATGTTAGTTTCCTAAAACAATACCTAAATAGCCATTATGTTATTCGCAGGCCTACATTGAATCTGTGCACACAGAACTTTGGAGGAAGATCTGCATATTTTCACAGAATTAAAACGCCTGTCAGACACAAAGCTTCACAATCTCATGACCCTTGTGTACATTCATTTATAAACATGACTAATTTAATTTATTAAGCTACCAATAACATTATAGTATTTATATTTTTTTAAAGAATCTTTTTTTTCTCTTAAGAATCACTTCTGAAGGATCATGTGACACTGAAGACTGGCATAATGGCTAAACAATATTACTGTTTTTTTTATCAAATAAATGCAGACTTGGTAAGTTTAAAAGACATCTTTAAAAAAAATTAAAAAATCGTACCACCCCCAAAATTTTAAACTGTAGTACATATATCAAAATACCATGGTATTATACTGTCACTGTTGCATGGTACTGCCATCTGTTTATCAGATGGAAAAATACTATTAATTAAAAAAGCCTGTCAGTGTCAAAGCTTCCCAATCTCATGCTCCTTGCATATTCATTTATACAATACATTGACTAATTTGATAATGATTTTAGCTACCAATAATATAGTATGGAGTTCTCAGTTTCATTTAACTGCAAAAAAAACACATTGGTTTTCATTATTGAGGGGAAAACTGCTTAACATTAAATACAAATAAATAAATAAAAATAATGAAGATGGGCGGTTGAGAAATTATTTCATAAATCTTTTATATAATCCTCCACTTTATCCTTGCGAATGCAAACCACCAGTGATTCAATCAGCACAATTATGCTGTTTGTGCAAGCACTCGAGCAATATCATTTGCAAAAAGTCCATTATCATATTCATTCACATCCCAGAGTGTCGCCCATTTAAAAACAAAAGAATAGGATGTATCAAACTGAGAGAGAGAGAGACGGACAGGGCTCGGGGCAGTGCATGTCCAATGCACGTGTGTTACTATGCGAGTGTCATCAGAAGATCCAGTATTAAGCTCCTCCCTCTATACGCACACACACATTGCCAGCTGCAGTGATGTAACAGAGTGAAAACCAGCAGATGGAAACAAAGATCCTCCTAAGCACTTTATAGAATCAGATTAGAGCCAGGAGCAAGAGCCTGCGCACTCAAACAACTCATCTAAAGATCACAACACACACACAATCTTAAGTCTCCTCAAAGGAAAGAGTATCAGTCAACAAACAGACGCACATTCATGCACAACAATGGTTGGTTGATCACGCCGACATTCACATGCAAATCTAATTTAGGCTCGGATTAGTATGTGGCTATTTTATGAAGCCACCACACAGGAAGGAAATACCAGAGGATATCTACTTATCGCAATATTTCTGTACACATTTTTGCCAATTCACTCCTCCATTTCAGAGCTTTTACAATACTTATGCTGAAAAAAAAAAACAGAAAACAGAAATAGTGTACGGTGCAAAGAAGACCTGTTTCCTCAAATTAGTATTCGTGTCCTCCAAATGTAAAGAGATGAATCCTATACCGGTATTTCAATAAAAAAAAAATCTATATATTGTGAATAGTATTATTTTGGTAAATATGTCAAATATACACTCTCGTTAAAAAGTTTGAGTCAGTAAGTTTTCTTCTAAGAAATGAATACTTTTATTCAGCAAGGACTTACTAAATTGATCAAAAGTGATAAAAAAACATTTCCTGTTTCTATTTCAAATAAATGCTGTTCCTTTGAACTTTCTATTTCATCAAAGAATCCTAAAAATAAAATGTTTCCGTTTCCACAAAAATATAATGCAGAAGTCTTTTGTGATCAAATAAATGCAGCATAAATGTAATATTTAAGCATCAATTGGCTGATATTTGGGTTTGTTTGACATTACTGGCATTGATTAACAGACCAAACTGTAATAATGCATCGATAAAACATTGATTGGCTTACATTTACTAACAGCTTTAGTGATTAATAAATGTACATTATTTTTTCAAATATTTGCTGTGAATTTCAAATAAATACTGATCATTTGCTAAAAAGAAATAACCCATTTAAATTACATTACATACTACATCTAGCCCATACTTTATTGCATTGGTTATCAGTATTGGTGCTTCAACTAAAAATTAAATGAAAACACACTTTTTTTTTAATTCGTTGTGAACATTTTTGTAAAGAAAAAAATGACAAAGAAAAACAACCTGTTCCACCTTTCCTTTCCGACGACATCACAAAGTCCTCACTATACAATACTCAATGAACAAAATCTAGTCCAACCCACCATTTTTTCCTCCATGAATATGCTTTCACTCAAAATGCATCACATTATGAAGTAAAAATGGGTTGTTGTTTCATGTTGACTCATCTGACTGCCACTGGTTATGAAGAAACAATGTTTAAATCAAAACATAAAATAAGTGTGTCATTCTCCCATATGGACTCACTCAGTGAGTTGACAATCGCCAGCTAAAAACATCAGGATGGCAGTTCTAACCATAGATTTGTACACACAGAATCCACATTGGACCGCTCCAGACACATCGGCACGCCCGCCATCTTGGAACGGTCAGCGTGTTGTCACTCACCTCACAGTAAGAATCATTGATGCCACAACATTGCGCAGCTTCTGGTTATGAAACCACTGAGATTTAAATTTGAAGAAATGGGATAACCTTTTATGGGTGCGAATGTGTTGGTTTGTGTTTCTATTTGTATTATAACTCAATATATTACAGGTTTTTATACTATATGGTAACTTTTTAATGTTGTGTTAGCTGACACCTTCGTCTTATTGTATAGACCTTATTCAGACAGAGCAGCGCCATGACAGGTATGAAAGCGAGGCTGTGAGGGATAGACTTGTTAGGGTTAGGGTTTCAATGGCATCTGCTGTAAAAAGCTGAATAAAGCTCAGATAATAAAGCTTAGATCACTTATGATTTTCCACAACTTATGCTGTCTGGAGTTTTATGTCTACTGAAGTTTCTTGGAAAGATATTTTTGGCAGTGTTCCGTCTGTAGAACAATCCAAAAACACAATAAATAACAGTATAACCCACTGATGAGATGTATCATGTCCATCCTTTCATTCTCTTTAAAAATCAAAGATGGCGCTGCTGTTGAATAAGGTTTATTTTGTTAGTTTAGCTAAATCATCTGCATTACAGATATAGATATTCATTCATGGCTCTAACTACGGTTGCAGACGCACAGTAAACTTAACCTTGAGTGTTCACAGACTAGAGCCCGACCGATATATCGGCGGGCCGATATTATCGGCCGATTTTAGGCATTTTCCTAACTATCGGTATCGGCATTAATAATGGCCGATAAATGAATATTTAAAAAAATGCGGGTGCGGTGATTCATGTAAGGGTGGCGCTGCCAATAAAGCACCTAAAAGCTGTCACAAGAACTGGCAAAAGTAATGATTATGAACACAACAAATATAGCAAGGAGACATTTTAATTGTTTATTAATAAACAAGTGTTTTCAGTCAGTGTCAGCCAAAGATGAAGTTGACGATGGTGACTCGCGATCTTCAGTGAACGCGTGCCAGAGAGAAATGCACATTTCATACGATTACATGAGTCTGTCTGTCTTTCGTTTTGAATTGTTCTGTTTAAAAGTAGACATTTCAATATAGATATATTTCTATTCTCAGGTCTATACGCTGAGTTTCGGTTCATGAGACGAGCTCCAGTTCACCCGCAGGCGCCTCCGTGTCGAGATTATCTATCGTCTGCTAAATTTACTTCTTATAAATTAAATCCAGATAAATGGCTGATGAAACATTGATTAAAATTAAGATACAATTAATACAAAACGAAATTAACTTTGAAACGAAAGGTTTTGTGCTTTCTGTTTGATGTCTATGTGAAAGTTTCAAAGCATTAGTGCCGCTTTCAGAGCGCTCACGTCCGTAGTGCTGAACTGTCGCGTCTGTAACATTGTTTTTTCCTCATAAATGCGAACACGAAAAATAAAATAAAATGAATATTTTATGTAGCCTGAGGAGACTGAGAGCCAACCCCTCTTCATCCGGTGGGTAGTAGCCTACTTGTGATTTGCGCAGTGTAATTCACAGAATTGATTTCTCTGCTACAAGCCTCTGTCACGTATTGTGTGAGCTTGTGACTATTGCAAGCGCGCAGCTGAGAAGTCCTGATTATATTGTCTGCTATATTTAGGCCTACTTCTTATTTATTAAGGCAATTGGTTGATGAAACATTGATTAAAATGCGTGGCGCGAGCGATCTCCGACAGTAAACTGATTCTGCTTTGTCTCGGGTAAACAGCTGTTGCAACGCGAGCAGTAACGGCCGCGTCCGGTGTAGACACCGTGTTAAAGCTCATTCTGCCTGATAACGCTACGTTACAACATCAAGCAATATTCCAAAAATGTATATAATTATAACACTTTATAAAGGGCCATTTTGCATTAAGAGTAGCCTAGTTTCACGTTTAGTAGGCTACATTTTGCTTACTAATTATTTAAAATAGTATAAAAGTACTGTACATATGTAATTAAAAACGTTTTCATTATGATATTATTCATTTTACTTTAGTAAAAAGATCTGAGTTCTTCCTCCACTGGTAGAGACAGTGGCGCAAAAAGTGGGTATGCTCTATATGCGGCGCATAGGGGCGCAGCACCATGGGGGGCGCCAAAGTGATGGTAAAAAAAATATATATATATATATATTGTATTTTCTATATGTAGCTGCTGTTGTGCGTTTCTTAATCATTTCTGCATTTCCTCAATATTATATAAAATTTTAGAGGACTAACAGGCTAGAGTAGGCGCCCTCATGGAGAAGGGGGGCGGGGTAATATCGCGCGAGCGCCGTGAGCGCT